AACCTGCAGATATAAATGAGTTTCTACGACCAACCATTGATGAGCTGAGGGATGGCATGTATCCTGGAATCCGAATATATCCAAAAAGTCCTTTGGTGACACTTACCTTGAAGTGTATGATTGTGGATGCTCCTGCTCGGGCATATCCTACAAGTGAAGCAGCATTCCGGCTACTACGCATGTGAGAAATGTACCGCTGATGGTTAGTATTTAAGTTCATTAACATTTCAATAACTTCTTATAGGTGTGCATGTAGATGGCCACATGACTTTCCCACTGGACAGGGGTACCATGATAACTATTTTCATCTGCCTTTTCAAGAAGAACATCACGTTAGTGATCCCTCCTATGAAGCACTTCGCAATGACATGATAAGTTACTTTCCTCTGGATTACATACCCATGGTTTGGCTTCAGTTCATGAGGCGTTTGATTACTTTGTAGCGCAACGGCCTCACATTTATCAAGGTGCGCTTGTCCGCCATGCATATATCGGAAGTGAACACCAGGATAGATCAGTGCCGCAAGTCACTAACGGTGGACTTCCACAGAAAATGCCGCAATTTCGTAGATGCAGATCGATGGAAAGTCACCGAGTATCGGCAGTTCCTGGTGTACATTGGCCCTGTTGTGATGCTTGGTATATTGCACCCTACGATGGACAATAACTTCTTGAACTTCTCTTTGGTGATGTATGTGTTGTGCTGCAAAGGTGATGCGAATATTATTTCCCTATAGCACAGTCAACAATTCGTAGGACGGTTGAACAGTTTGTTGACATCTACGTTCGCCACGAGTTAGTGTTTAACGTCCATTGCTTACTACATTTATGCGGTGACGCGCGTGAATTTGGGCCACTGGACTTCTATTCCGCATTTCTATTCGAGTCTCATCTTCACATCGTCTTGTTCGTGGTCTGTGTATGCCGGAATCTCAGGTGTTTCGACGATTGGTTGAGAAGGCTGCGTATTCGCAACTACCGTCGGCTGGATACCTTGATGACACATACAGCACTCCAGCGGCACGCCACCCTTGTACAGCGAACCAAGTTCCGTCAGATTTTTCGTTGTGATAGATGCGCATCCAGACAATGCCATAAGTGCTGACAACAGACCGTTAGTGATTGTCAGCAATCATAATACATTGGTGTGCCTGCAAAGTTATGCGACAGTGGATGTCTTCTTCCATAAATTTATTCCGTCGGCATATCTGCGGATATACAGATGTTCGCGAGTTCATTCCAAGAAAAAGTGGATCTCCATTGATTCGATCCAATGCAAGTGTTTGTCATTTCTGGAAACCGAGGAGGCAAAAGTGTTCTATCTAATCGCTTATACATGGGATGGAACAGCGGCTCGTAAAGTAGATTTCATTGCCTAGTAGTTGATTTCATAATGGCTTATTTGAGACTTAAGGACTATTCATTGGCGCGCAACTGAGTGTGTATGGTGCACGCAATACACAGATGGTGACTTTTGGAGTGACGCGCTTCCTTGCTCTGCGGTACCGGTAGAGGACTGAGTGGTAATATATATTGGAGTTCCGCAATGAAGCCTTAAAAATTCCGTGCTAAGTACCATTTTCGTAGGTAATTGAAGTCACTGTAGGCTGGTCTGTTCTCTAATAATCACACGAATTTCAGTGGGCACTTGTGTGCATATACAAGGGATGAGCTCGTCAGGATCCTGAAAACTACCGGCCGATCTGTCTGACATCGATAATTTGTAAAAGCATGGAAAAAATATTAAGAGAGCCCTAGATCTTTATCTAGGGAAACTGCATATCATCTCATGCGCTCAACATGGTTTTCGGAAGGCACCTTCCTGTGTCTCTAACTTACTTGTTGCCAGCGAAAAACGGGTGAGATTGCTGGTTGCCTGTAATTGTCCGGATGTTGTTTTCGTCGACTTCTTCAAGTCATTTGCCAAAGCTACTCACATACTTCTCTTTCTCAAACTCCGGGGAATCGGCGTTTTTGGGAAGATGCTCTTCTGAGTCGCTGACTTTCTGAATGGTAGAAGCATGTAAGTGAAAGTGAACAATACCTACTCCAGTCCTGTTTCTATGAGCAGCGGGGTCCCACATTGCTCTGTCCTTGGTCCTGAGCTCTACAAAATCTACATCGATGTTCTTCCATCCGAGCTCCAAATTGAGTCCATCATATATGCTGATGATCTGAAACTGTGGCTAGAGGTGTCAAAGCTTTATGATGCTGACCGCCTACAGACAACGCTGGACCGGTTGCACTGTTGGTCAAATGAGTGGCGGCTACCCACCAACCATGCTGCGTTCTCTCATCCAAATTGGTGCCCAGGACCTTTTTGGCGCTTAACACATTGGGGGCGCACTGCTCAGGAAGGCAATCATGCAGAAGGACCTGGTAGTACTTGTCCTGTCAAACCTACGCACAACTCAGGACACCGTAAAAATGTTGGCGCTGCTAATATGGTGTTCTTTTCTGTAAAGTGATCATTTTCTCCAATGACTTTTTGGCTTTTCTCGCGTTACCAATCTTTGGACTGCGTTCATTAATTTCCAATTAAACGCTGCCTGAAAGACTGATTTTATGCAGTTTTCACCTAACTGGTCGAAGTGTGTGAATGTGGAAATGTCTATTTTTGCTCATTTGCCATCTATGGTAATGTTACGCGTGACAATTTTTTAGTTGTTCCATATCATGGAATTTAAGCACACCTCAAACGCTGTTATCCACAGGAAGTAGATGTTGGACACCAATATAGTCATGTGGCCAGGTTTTAATTCTAAGAAAACCGATGATTTGCCTCTGTGTGGTAAGGCGCCACCTCCGGCGGGGAAAAGCCTTACGGTTAAAACTATCCGTTCAAATGGTATGCCGTAATCTGTTATAAGGATGTTTTCAGATGATTACGAAAAGGCCAAACGGATCGCATGATTCTTGGAGGATCACGCCGATCCTCCGTCAACTGATGGCACACTGCCTATGGAGCGAGGTGGGAAGAGAGGCATGTAAGTAAACTTTGCAATACCATTTTTAGGCTTCCTGTCCTGCGACCGGACATAGAAACGAAAACGAAGGTTCACCAACTTGCACCATATCTAGGGGACAGGGTCATCCAGTATTCACCGCCTCCTTCATTGTTGGATTTGGAGGATAACATCTCTCAGCGGACACCTTCGGCTGCCTTGCAAAACGGTCCCCAATTACAAGCCCCCTCGCATCAAGGTACGATAATTAGATACTTCTTAACACTTTCCATACAGCTTCCAAACTGATCTACCACAGCACAATTATTCTGTAACAACGTAGCTGTGGGTGTTGCACCAGTCAATGCTGGAAATTAAGCAATATATAGGGGAGTATTGTGCAAAACATGCCAGCGACAACGCTAGAATTCGGGAGAAAATTCACGACTTGAAGTTAGAGATGTCCTCCGTTCGCTTTCAGTTGTCAGCTGCATGCTATGTACCGTTTCTGTTGGAGACAGTTGAGGTGCTGCAATCACTAGATCGACGGCTAGAGAACCGCACTGCCGTGGCTCAGTTGGTATGATTCCGTTTTGACTTTAGATTAATTACTTCATAATGATCAGTGGGAATACTGTTTTGACAGCAGTGCGCAACATAATGCAGGCTGCCTACACGGCCGAGCTGGCTAACCAACTGAACTGGCGCGGCCTTCGCACAAAAAACCGCCTCGGAGAGACTAGAGTGACCCGGGCAATAATCGGTTAGTCCCCAACATATCACCTAATCTTCATGTTCTAGATGCAGTAGTACGGATGAGGATGCGTGGCTGCACAGAAGAGGAGGTGACAGGTCGGCTATGTCGGTGGCCTCAGAGAGCTCACGAACGTATCCAAGGTGCCTCGACTCACGCGGAGCAGGACTTTTTCATCGTAGCACCGCAGGCTGCAGGAACTAGGCAACGATGGATATACACTGCATCATATAACGTGTCTGACCATTGCCATTCGCGTTACTGTATAACCGTACTCCATGCTATCGCGTCGAGCCTCTTGAAAAAGGCCTAATTTCGTGTTATCTACGTATGGAATGAGATTCCATGGGGTATGTGACAGTTATGCTGCACAGGCAAGATGGTTTCATTCCGTTTCCAACTACGTGCCTAAGTATGTCTGTTTGTCGGGGTTCCACTACCGGCTATTCATGTCCAGCCTTTTGTACATAGGCACTGCACAGGCGGATCATCCAAATAAGTATGCCATTGTGTTCTGACGTAATAATAGTGATGTGTGCATCAATGTATGTAGATGTTCACCATTTCTTTTGCCTTATTTGCATTTGTAGTCACAGTCCACAGATATTAGGATATCGTATCTTTCTATCGATGCACCTTGGTTTTCACAAGTTGCTTAATGACCTGCTATTTGTTGACTTTCAGGCGCAGTGCCCTAGAGCTGAAAGCTAAAACTCCTGAAGCTACGCCAAGCATGAATATTGTTTGCACCTGATGCACCGGGATTTCATTATGCACTTTTATTCACTTTAAAATATACCTCGTTTGTGTAATGGTGTAATTACGTATTAAAATAGCTTTACACGAAACTCAGAATAGACTTATATACCGGGGAATTTAGTGCTGGGAGTAATCACGACTAGTGGAAAATGTTGCGGGGCTGACTAAAGCTGCGCACAATATTTTTGAGTAACCAAAAGTCGCTTAAAGTGTCGAATTGGGACAACCGGAGTCACAAAATTTGGTCACTTAGAGACGTCCAAAGGTCGCACCAGCGGACACTTTTTGGTTACTCGTGCAGACCAGGTCCCGCTAAGTGACTTTTTTGAAAGTAACGCCTTATAGGCAAAAGTAGGCGCCAAAGATGTACACCCTTATTTAACAGCATGTCTGGACAGATCAGGCCAGTTATTTGCATTTTACCTTTACACATCTGCGAGTGAACAAATCACACCCAAATGGGAAAGCTGGCCGTCCATCCGTGCTGACAAGCATGCAATCAAATGGACAAAGATAAACCATGAATATAAACATAAACATACCGTTACATTAGATGGCACGTGTACACTCAGGGAGGACATCGAATACCCGAATAATGCACCACTTATAACATCATCGTCAAGTTTTCTGGCCAACTCAGCAATATCGACAGATATTTTTACACAAATTCTTTGCGACAGAGAACACCAATATAATTCGCCATCTACTCCAGCCCTTGGCGAGCCAGTTAGTATTCTTTGCACGTATGAAATGAAATGAAATATCTTACCCTTTGGTGCCATTCGCATGAGTGTGTCCCATCACAGAAAATCCGAATAAAGAGTCAGCACTACCTGTTTTAATAACCGGAGCATTTATATCGACATTAAATGAGGAGGCGCCTTTGAAAACATGAAAGAGAATAAATCCACATAGAATAGTTATCACCATTGACCGGAAAAGTTGCAATGTTAAGGATTGCGGGGCTTGGTTCAAGGTCACATGCGGTCAGAGCAAACAAAATTAAAACATCACAACGGTGGCATTGAACCTATTAAAACTTTAAAAATAAGTGTACAAGTTTAAGCCTGACTATTGTTTAAATGTCAGGTTGCAGTATAATGTGTTACCGCCGGATGCGCTTCCGTTGGTAGTTCATGTTCAGAATCAAATAGGGATGTAACAATACTAGAACAAAGTGGATGTTCCCTGCACAGCTATTTGTTGAGTTGTTAAGTGTAAGGTGCTTCTGAAGCTTTGGGAATATCAGACGGAAAACCCAATGCAGACCCCGTCCAAACACGTGCTGCCTACTAACTTAGCCTAGCATTCCGCGCTGCCCTGGTCACCCGAAGTAAAAAAATGATGGGAAGTGATTGAATGTACTTATACAGGAAGCGTAAGAATACGATGAAAAAGAATTTTCAGGATTAGTGTTGGTCAAGATAACGGTAAAACATCGTTTACTTGTTGTTTTTGGAACCCAGCTTGCGCATCCAGGAAGCAGATTGAGTTGCATTGTAGCATGTAACTTGGACGGAAAACGGTACTGTTTATCTGGCTTTAAAAGAACGACACAGCTGATGCAGCTAGGTAGGGAAAACGAAAACGTTCACCGTATGGAGCGGTCACGCGTGAGATCTTCCGTAATTCAAGTTCGCGGTACGTACGAGGAATAAGGGCTGTAAATGAATGACCTGTAAAGCACCGTGGCCTAATTATAAGTGCGTTACCTGCTGCACGGCGACAACGTTCCGATGGGCGGAATAGGAACACGAACGAATGGGACTGAAAAGCATGCTTTCAACTGCACGATAGATGCGTAACAGTCCGCTTCAAGTGCATGTAAAGCAAGCGGCTTCGGTAGGGATAACCTATGCAGAGGAGGTTGACCCGTCCGGTTCACTATACATATCAAGCTACAACGGAATGAAAACCGAAAGTAAAAATTGGGTCCTATTTGAACGAATCAGTACGGTTTCATTTATGCTGCACGCGTTTCAGACGAAACTAACGCCACACAAATGCGGTGCTAGACTTACGGAATCGAGCTCAAAATTCGCCACAACAATCCGCATTAAGCACATAAGTGTAAAATGTAATAGTATTATTAGTCCACATTTTACACAGGTTAGCCTTGAAAAGCTCCAGGCATCTACACGCCTTGCGCTGTAGCGCCATCAGAGCGGGGATTGTGTAAATCCATACGACGACCGCGGAGGCCGGGTGACCAGTCCTGACCAAATATCCATGACAATACAATGCCAAGGTTCTCAGCTAAAATTCGGTTAGTTAAACGCGGGTTTTCCCGAAGCCTTGGTCGGTGAATTTGATGTACTTTTAACTGAAGTATCCTCTAGGGACACGGTTGTCGCGGCCACCTCTCGAAAAATCTAGTACCCAATCGCAAAGCCGCCTCGAACCCACTTTGTCCCTGAAGAGGTATAACAGACCAGGATAGACGAAATGCGCCAGGTGTGGTAAAGCGAAAAGTGAGAACGCGTTCATGGGGCTAGCTCCGTCAAAATTCCGAAATAACCGCATATTACCTAATAAAATTACTAACTAATATACCGTCGAAAACCATGGGCATAATTGAAAAGTTATATCATAATAGCACCAACCCAGGTGGTTGGCACGTCTAATAATACTGCAAGCTCCACAGGGTTCATACTGGACCTACGATGGTTTGAACGTGTGCTGGGACACAGAAGGTAGCACAGTCCTGCATGGTCTGCTGAGTGTAAGGAAGCGTCATATCGGGAAACCGGCTTCGTTCCTAGGACATGAGCAAAGTAAGCACGTCACGTTCTAAGGTTGAGTTCAGAGGTTGGAAATCAAAAGCGATTGGCGTACATGACGCGATCTAAGCACAAAGGCAGTTACCGAGGCGCAGGAGTAAGAGGTGTAGGCGGAGAAGCGACAGTTGCAGAGGAGACAGGGGCCGATGACGTTTACCCCATCTAGGAAGAGTATATAAAACTGCATCATTGCAATCGCGAGTACCTGAGTCAGGCATGCCCAGTGAGCCACGGGCAAAGCCACTCGGTACCAAAATCAAACGACGACAAGTCCTGCTGTAAACATAAGCAGGACCAGCGCAGCGTTATCATGTAAACTGCTTGCGCTTCCACTGGATTAACAATTCGCGCGCTTGCATGCTGTTATTTTCAGCCGGCTAACCGAACAACTTCCGCATAGCGTCAACAGGTTGGTTCGTGTTAAACCCCTGTCAGCAAATACTTCGGCAGCAGTGTTCCAGAAAGTAGTGGTTTTCGCCTGGCAAGCCTTCTTCTTATAACAAACCACAATGTCCAATTAACAACATCGCGAAGTGGTGGACGTGACTCGCCACAGTATAACTTCGCTGCGCCGTGGAGATCCGGATAATGCCATTCAACCCACGGACATCATTCATTTAGTCTGACGGTAACAAACAGTCAAAAAGACCGCAACACATTTACAAACACAACCTACAAAGCTACTTACACAACCATTGGTTGACGGCATCCGGTTTCGGATGTTTTTGTCACTGTAGACAGTCGCAGAACGCCTTCGCCTACAGAGAACCCATGGGCGGTTTGCGCTGCACCATACCCAGCTTAGACCACTCCTAGTATCCAGTGTGAACCCGAAGGAATAGGACCGGCAGGCATGTGGATGGGAGCCATCCTACACCCCTTCACAAGCAAGCATTCTTTATTTGGGAATCATACGCACAAAAGACGGCGGCTGGACCATGATCCGCTCCACACTGAGTGCATGGAGCCACTGCTCGAGTCTAGCACGGTCTCAAGGACAATGCACCCGTCCCCTTCTGCGACGACTAACGGTCTCCTGGAGCCCGTATGGACGAGCAGTGCGTAATAGACAAATAGATACTTTGTGTAGATTCGTCGCAGTTATGGACGGACAGACAGCCACCACACAGCAATAAAAGCGCTGGACGGCCATTTCGTCATATTGGGACTCGTCAGTAGCGCGCAGCTGCCGAATCCTGCCGGGTTCGAACCCACGACCTTACTTTTGTGGGTCAGCGACCTTTTCACTGAGTAATAGGTGGCGGCAGCGCACCGCCGTGACTGATAGCTAACTGCTAAATAGCGCGGCTGATCCTCCACTGTCTGGCATGGTATGAACGTGCAGATGACGAGGCTGGCCCCCAGAGCAACGACTTCCGGTTGCAAGCTGCCACAAATCGAGGTGGCAAGTATGCTGCTAAGACGAGTACTGATTATTTGTAGGTAGTAGGGGATTTTTTATGTTTTTGTGTAGGTGCATCGCAGTTAGACACTTGAGACGACGAGATCACATACAAGTACTGGAAAAATGCATACAGATACGGTGACTTAAGTCTTCAAGCAATAAGCAAATAAAATAAATTGGTCGTCAAATATCCGTTATTGGTTCAAGACGTCAGAAAATATATTTAAAACAAATGTCATTAACGCGGAAATGTTATCAACGTTAACTAAAAGTAACGTGAGCGACGTGTGCAAGTTACTAGAAGATAGTTCAGGTAGACACTAAAGAGCCAAAATGCTAAACCCACTACCTGCAATAACGAAACTCGGCATGCAAATGGGCGTTCAGTAAATCGAATGAAGCGTACCCATAAACGCTGTGCGTGTTCTGCCTGCGCTCTCTGCAGGACAAGTCGTGGTTTCGGTACCGCCCCGGATGTCCACGCTCATGGAGAGCTAGGCTTGCCTGACTCAGGCACACGAGACCACATGTGCTGCAGCACGATGTGCTCGATGTCTATGAAGTACAACCCATCGGAACATTCCGCTTTCCCACTTGTCGAATCTTAGCTGCATGCATGAGTTCCTTCCCCTGCACCTCGGCAACTGCCATCGTGATTAGATTGCGCCATGCACGCCTATCAACTACCTTGGATTCCCGTGACCTGCAACCAAGCTTAGAACTTCAGCGGCTCACTTTGAGCACGTCCTGGTAACGTAGATTCGGTTTCCCCACATATCGCTTCCGCAAGCTCAGCTGACCATATAAGAGTTGTTTCGGTATCCGCGTCGAATCCATACGGCTCACCTGACCGATCCACCTCGGGTATCTCAGCAAAAGCATGCAGTCCACTGCATACATTCCACTACGGCAGAACACTTTCGTGTCTGCAACTCTGTCTCCCCAAGTGATGCGCAAAATCCGTCGCAAACACTGCTGATGGAACCGCTCGAGGTATCGCACATCCCGCCGGTACATCGACCACCTTTCACTGCCGTATAGAAGAACGAACAGCACCATAGATTTGTACACCATCAGCTTCGTGCATATGGTAAGCTGATGGTTGTTCCACACTCGGTATTCAAGCTTCCCGAATGCCGCCGCTGCCTTCGACACGGGGATACGAAACTCACTGTGTATCTGCTGCTCAGTCGATATCACACTCCCAAGGTAGCAAAAGCGGGAGGCGGTTTCCAATACTTCAGCACCAATGCTGATTCGCGGCAATAATGAAGATTGCACCTCCGGTGGGGGCTGGAAGAGACAGACAGTTTTGCTTGTGTTGACGATGAACCCGAATTTAGCCGCCATCGAAGCCAAAGCACTGGTCATATTCTGCAACTCATCTGCGCTGTGTGAAAACAACGCACAGTCGTCAGCGAACTGCAACATACGGATAGTTGTCTCATAGACTAGAGTTTTCGCACGGAAACGACGGATGTGCAGCGACCCACCGTCAGTACGATGCTCCACACGAACACCATAGGCACAAATGGCATTAAAAGCACAGGACAACATTGCGTAACGATATATATTAAACAGAGCAGGTGTTACGACACAGTCTTGCTTCATACCAGTGGCAATTGCAAAGTCATCCGAGGTCTCTCCACTCAGCTGCACCCACGCTGGCATATCACTAAGCAAACATTCAATTAAACTTATAAACTTACGCGGGAAAACAAACGTAACCAACACCAGCCAAAATG